ACTACTACAAACATTATTTCAGAAAAAAAAATATGATGAAAAGTTTCCAAATTAAGTCAAAATAAATTAAATTTAAGAAGTTAAAGGATCATACTTGACTTAAAATAGTTGATCCAAGGTTATATAAAAAAAAAGAACACAATTTTAAAAACAGGAGGATTTTATATTATATGTACTAAATTTTGAACTATTCAAAGACAACTTTATACAGGGTTCCTACACGGTCAGGAAAACCTGCAAAAGTCAGGCTATTCTAAAATTAAGCTAAAAAGTCACGATTTTTCTTACGTATTCATAAAGTCAGGATTTTTCTTACATATTCATAATGTTAGAAAAATAAAATAAAAAAACTATAGTTTATTCAAAGACTGACAGGCAAAAATAAATTTTCAAGGAAAAATTCTGTAATTCAAAATATGTAATTTCCTCATAATAACATTCCTCTTTCCCTGGTAGAACCTATCCTGTTAGCAATTTTCCTCCTGTTTATCCAATGATAAGGAATTTTTGAGAGGGTTGCTAGGTTTATTGCTCTTTGTGTGAATAACTGGTTTACAGACAATAGTAGCTGAAACAGCAGAAAAATCAAAAAAGGAATTTTTACTGTTTTATGATGCTGCCAAAAAAGGAGGATTTTATATTATATGTACTAAATTTTGAACTATACAAAGACAACTTTATAGAACTCAACTGATATGGTGCAGTTACAAAAGAAGATACTTGCAATGATGATTTCACTCGTATAAAATATCATGCAATATTTTTTAAAACTTTATCTGTGTTTCAAATTATTTTTCTAAGAATAACTGTAAAGCAAAAATGACAAAATATAAACCAAATTTGGAAAATAGTTGTTTAATATATGTGTATATATACATATACACATATTAAGAGCTATTCTTAAAAATTAGTTTACATTTAGTAATTTTTGCTCAAAGTTCAAAATGTAGAGAAAACATGGAAAAAATTACAGAATATTGAAAAAAGAAAATTATTTCTAAAAAAATTAGAAGAAAATGAATACAAATCCGGGGGATAAAAAAACAAAGTATAGAATCTTTTCACATGACTATATCCGCTATTTCTTTAGTGCTCCTCACACTATTGTATTGATGTATTTTGCATGGACTATATTGATACAATAATAGAAAGCACTCCTTTTTATGGATATAATCCTGTGAGCTGATGAAGAGATTATATCTTTTCTCCCAGACTTTTATTAATTTCTTTTAAATACTTTTTTCTTTATTCTGTAATTTTTTCCATGTTTTCTCTACATTTTGAACTTATTTTACGAGTTCTATGTACTTGCAGATTAAGCTCAGTAAATAAAACTTACTGATTTTCTTAGTTTTTCTCCTTTTTATTTTTATTTATTGTGCTATATATATTGCAACAAAGAAATGATATTCAGAAAATGTTCAGGTAAGAAATAATTTGTAAAATTGAAAAAATATCAAATTCAACAAATCAAAAGGTTTTAAACGTGGTAACATTATAATAAAGAAAGTAATAAGTTCATAGATCTTCTAATAATTTTTTAATGCTACTTCATATAAAATTGATAAATTAACTAACATGTTGTCAAATTTTAAACTAACTACGTTTAACTACAAATAATTTATTACCTCTTTAGAAATATGGACCACTATTTTTCAACAAACACTTCAGTCTTCAGGTTCTATAAAGGAAAAATTCAGCTAAATTTATCTTTTTGGTGCAAGGAAAAAAAAACTAAATAAATAAACAAGAAATGCTTTTAAATAACTCTGTGATACAGTATGCACTTTCTTCGATACTTTAAATTGTTTAATATCCACTAGTTTCTCTAATTTTTGCATGAAATTAGTTGTATTTCATTTGTATCGGTTAAAACATTAAAATTTTCTAGTTAAATTTTTTTAACAATAAAATAGCATTTCCTTTTGCTGAAAATAAATCATAAATGCCATAACTGTTTTAAGAGTTCATGATTTATTAAAAAAAAGAAGGAAATTTAAGTTATTAGAAAAATAAAATGCAAGGAATATTACAGTGAACTAATATTACTTGCATTATAATTTTAGAGCTTTCTGAATTTGTTTTCAACTAAAGTGGAATAATCTTTAAAAAAAAGTTCACAGAACAATGACCCATTTTCAAATAGTTTACTTATTTGAATTTTTTATTATTCCATAACTACACATGCTACAGTTTTGTTGGGTAAAATTTTTTTACAAAGTCTTTGTAATAAAATATTTGTAGAAGAATTTGAATTCATAATTCAAAAAGCGATTTTGATTCAAGTTTTAATCTGTCATATATATTGCATGATATAGACTGAAGCAGTGCAATAACACCTTACAAATTTGTCAACAGATAATTTAGTAAAAATATCTATCAATAAAAGTGCGTTTTTTACAAATCTAAAAGATAAGACTGAAAAATATATTTTACAGCAGATAATAAGAGTTTAAAGTTTTAATAAAATGTAAAAACAAATTTATAAAACAAACTGAAATAGATTCTTATTTTACTATTACTTTTTCTTACTTTATTATGCCTGTTATAAGCAAATAAAACAAATTATTCAAAAACTAGAAAACGATTAATTTGAAATTTTAACTAAATACTTTTCTATTTTCAAAATCTTATTTATTCACTGTAAACAAATATAACAAATCTAAAACAAAAGTTACAATACTAAAAGTTCTAATGAGTCAAAGAAAGAAAGTAACAGCTAAAAAATGTTTGACCTAATGATTGGATTTTCAGTACTAACATAAAATGTTCATAACTTTAGAATTACTAACATTATTAACGATCTAAATTATTCTAAGAAATTTGTATAGACGATATTTAAACAGAAAATTTTGTCACAAAAACGTCTTTAAATAATCTTTCTATCTTAACACTCAAGGAGGACATCTCTTAAATTTGATCTCAATAGAAAGCAGTTGAATGTTTGGTTCTTTAATGTTAATTTTACTCTTTGCGTATGCCCTTTTTGAACTTGATGCACTGTACTTAGTAAGTAGTTTTGCATAAAAAATCACGCCTTAACTGATGTTTCTTTCTTTAAAGATTGCATAAATTATTCTTATTTAATAAAGAATCTAATATAAAAATATACATAAAACAAAAAATACCACCAGCTCAGATCTAGATTTTACTAATGGTCTTCCTGCAGCCAGATTTGGAAGAAATTTTTTTTCCAGCCCAAACTAAAAAAAAGGAAGAATAAATTTGAATATGAATTTTTATTTCTTTCATTTACCAAACTATGATAACTTAACATGTTAATAAACTGAGTACCTTGATAATTTTATGTTTTACAATTCATTCTCAGCAAATTATCAATTTCAATAAGGTAAAAACTTCCTAAATTAGCACTTGATCTAGAACTATTGCTTAAATTGCTTAGAATTTGATTTATACTGCCATTATTAACTTACTTCTCACCTTAAATTAATCTAAAACAAATGTTAATGTGAAGGAATTAATTATTGTTATTTATAACTTGATACAGATACAAACTATGAAAATAAGATATTACAAATTTATTTTTTTTTAAATAATTTGTTACTTATAAGTAATAAAACAGTAAATAAATAAGAATATCAGTCAATAAAAATAATCAATCTTCCAAAATTTAAAAAAAAAAAAAAATTTCAAGTTAAAAAATTTTGCTAAAATAAAAATTACCTTTCATTAAGTCATCTCGTTTTAAATTATCTTCTGAATTCACAATTATTTTATGACTCATAGGTAAGAAGCTTTTCAAGAGTATCATTCCATGCAATTCGAACTTTTGAATTATTCCCTGCAAATTAATAAGTTTTAAAATGGTAAGAAATTCATCAAGCTGTGCTTAAAAAAACGAATCACATTTAACAATAAGTAAACTAAATCAAAATTACTTTTTTTTAAATTAAAAACTACTACAACATTATTTCCAAAAAAATGAAAAGTTTCCAAATTAACTCAAAATAAATTGCATTTACAAAGTTAAGAGATGATATCTTACTTAAAATAGTTGATCCAAGGTCAGAAAAAAAATTTCTACAGAAGCAGCACACAATTTTTTTTTAGAAAGAAGGAACATTTTCATATTAAATTAACTAACTTTTGAACTTCACAAAGACAATTTTATAGAACTCAACTGATATGACGCAGATACAGAAGAAGCTACTTCAAAAATATCCTTTTTAGTCTTATAAAATGTCATGCAATATTGTTTTAGACTTTATCTGTGCTTCAAACTATTTTCCTAAGAAGAAATAATTCTAAAGCAAAAATTACAAAATATAAACCAATTTTTAAAAAAAGCTGTTTAATATTTTATACAGCTACTATTTAACGAACTTCCACTTTGCGAATTTTTCTATTTTGCAATTCTTTTCAAGGAACCAAGAACATTTTGGAAATTTCTTCGTAAAATAACAAATAGCGAAGTAAAATTTCTAATTAACGTATTTTTCGTTGAGATCCACTTTCCCTATTTCCCAAAATATTTCAAACTTTTGGATGCATGTTATGGGGGAAATGACTTTACATTGATTTTCGAAGCCACTTTTAGTGAAAGCAGTTAAAATCCTTTTTTGTTTTTATTTCAAACGAAAAACTCAGGCAAAATGAATAGATTTTAAGTGTAGCAAATAAACTTAAGAACGCATGTGGAAATGTATATTTAAAATTACTTTTATAATAAATGCAGCTATAATTTTTTATATAAATTTAGTTTTTTTAGTTGAAAATGTATGTAATGATAGTGTAACACTGAATAATGTTTTGCTCTATTCTTGGTTTCCATACAGACTTCTTTTAGGGTTAAGATTTATAAAATAAAAAGTAGATACTAGTTTACAAGATAAAGGTGTGTCAATTGCGACTTTTAATTATGTCTAGGATTTATGAATTTAAAACCTGCTTTGTGTTGTTTAAGTATTTAAAAAGGTGTTTTCTTTTTAACGAATTTTCCAAATATCGAATTTATTACCGGGATTTAGTGCCATCCCTAAATAATGGTTGACTGTATATATATAACTTAAGAAAATATGCAATATATCAAAACTTTATTAATTAGAGCACCGAAAGAATTGACAAAGAGCTGCTAGCCATTTAGATTGATAATTCTTTGTCACTTTAGTCTTAAGCAATAAACTTCAAATTTTTCTTTATACTTGAAAGTTTTCTGCTTAGAGAGAAATAAATTTAAAGAAATACTGATCTTACAGAGCACATCCTGAAAAATTTTTTTAAGGAAAATAGTGAACTACAAAAACAATTTACTTATCAGTGCAAAATGTTATTTCAGACGGTATTTACAGTGGTAATTCTCAATCCTTATAATAAAAAAGTATTTAAATAGTTATTTTCCACAAAGAAAACTACATGGAATGGAAAAACATAACAATAAATTGAACAAAAAATAATTTTGAATTAAAAAGAAAATAGCCTCAAATTGTTTGAGCTATTTCTCCCTTTACAACAAAACATTTTGAAATTACTAACATTGTTTTATGAATATCTAAAAAAATGATGGAATTGCACTTTCAGGAAAAGCGATGAAGAAATGGCATTCAGAAAATTTCTAGGTAAGGAATAATTTGTGTAAAAATACCAAATTCAACAAATCAAAACGTTTTGAATTTGGTCGCTTTCCTATAAAGGAAGCAATAAGTTCCAAGGTCTCCTAATTTTAAAAACTATACAGCCATAAGCAGCACTTAAGTATAAATTTAGATACATAATGTTAAAACAATTATGCAAGGATTATGTAGTTAAAAAATAAACCATGCTTTTAAAAATTTTCAATTTGGTACTCACATGCTTAAATCTAACTTAAATCTTACTAACTTACTTAAACCTAATCTAAATCTCTAAACTTAATCTAATCTAAATCTCTAAACTTAATCTAATCTAAATCTCTAAACAAAAAAAATGAAATATGTTCTCTAGTTAGCACATATTTTTTATCATGAACTGATATATCAATCCATAAACTATTAAACAATTACTTTTTTTTTAAATTAAAAATCATAAATATTGTAAAAATCCATAATTTTTGTAATTTAAAATTTA